GCCGAGCGCCGCGAGCGCTTGGATGACGTGCCGCACCTGGGCGACGTTCTCGAGGATGTTGCTGATGCGCAGCGGACGGATGATTTCCATCTGTTGTGTGTTTGGGTTAGGTTCAGAGAGTGCTGCTGCTGCTGATCTGGGGAGGTGGCTTACCAGCGGGCCTAGGTCCTCTTCCTTGGGAAATGTGTACATCTGCGCGTGCGGGCATTGTCAGCTGCACACTCCCGAATCCAGCATCGGCTAGGCGTGAGACGGATCAGAGCCTCACAAAGCTTTCGTATCCGCCCGGGTTCGGCATCAAGGTCATGCCCATCTTGGTGACGATGCCGTAGTTGGACTGCGAGAAGATGCCGCTGTTGGCGAGTGCCACGTCAGCACTCAGCAGCCAGGTTCTTTTGGGGGCGGCAACCTACTCCGAGTACGGGCCGAAGCCGTACGGAAACGTCTGCCACGTGTTGCTTCCCGGCAGCGCGCCCATGCCGGTGCGGATGACGTCGCCCGTCGGCAGCACGACCTCGAGCCCCGCGTGGCACGCCCAGTGGTCGCCGTAGGGCGTGTACCCGACGCCCCTGTCGATGGTGTTGCCGAGCACCGAGCCGCCGCCAACGTCGGGCGTGTCGATCCACATGTGCCCGTAGCCCTTGGCCTGGATGGCCTCGTACAGCGCGTAGAACGACACGCCCGGCTCTACCAGGCACGTGTAGTCCTCCGGGTTGAGGTCGAGGATTTGGTTCATGCGCCGCCCGAGATCGACCGTCACCGAGCCGCGCACCCGCGGCGCCGCCCCACCGTATCCCACTGCCCGCCTGTTAGCCAGGAAGTTCTGTGCTGTAAAATAAGTTTCGGCTCCCTACGGTTCCGCCCCATGGAGATGGGAAAGATTGGGATCCGGTACTTGTTGGCCCAGAGCACGACCTGCTGCACCTCTTCGGTGCTGCCGGGGTACACCACGGCCGACGCAACCAGTTCCTCTTCGTCGAGAATGGTCATCATGTCGTGCGTATTTGGATCTGCAGACGGTCAGAGACGCGAAAATAGGGGCGTGTTTACACCGCGGCACCCACGCTCCATGTACCTAAACATCGTCAGCTCAGCCCCCTATTCGAGCCATCGCATAGCCCAACACCACTCACCATCCGTCCTTGAGCGGCTTATCGTTGATCTCGACGTGCTCGGCGCCCAGCTGGCCCTGCAGCTCGGCCAGCGCCTTGGTGAACTCATCGCGCTCGATGCCCTGCGGCACGACGGGCAGGCGCTGTCTCTCGCTTGCGGGCTTGGTCCTAGTTTCGAATATGCCCTCTTTGGCCTTTTGCGCCTTCTCGAGGAGGAATGTGGGGATTCCCGAGTGGGTGCCCGGCAGCGTGGGTACCGCCGAGTTCGCCTCGTCTGCGAACGACATTGCTAAGATTCTAATTAAGTGTATACTAAGCAAAGCACCGGAAGACGCCAATTAGCATCAACTGAGGCAGCCCCCAACACCGGGATTCAGACAAAAGTCTTATAACCCTCAGACAAAACTAGCTTACTTTAGTCTCACGACATCGGAAACGCAGAACCGAACGCGGGCGAGCTACCCCGCCGACTCGTTCTGCGTTCTCCGCATCTGCCGGCAGATGGCCTTGTCCCCCGCCCCTGGGGCCCAGAACTAATATTGCTTGCTGGGTTGCAGTTGCTGCAGTGTCGGCTCCTGTCTGCCTGTCGGTTGCATGTTGCGTGGCTGTACCACCTCCTGTTTCGGCGCTAATTAGATAGCTGTTCCGCATATCCGGGGAAGCTCGGTGCCAAGTGGAACCACCATCGGCAACAAAGTGGCATCCGACGTCCCGGGTTCCGGTGGCATGTCACTCGGGAGTGTAATTGCAGATTTCGGGTTAGGGGAATGTTTCTCGCCTGAATATTCCCGGGATATGTTGGGACAAGGGGGTAGTGGAAAGAGACGATCTCGGCCCTTAATCACCACCATTTGTTGACCATACTACCACATACGACCATACCCACTGGAAAGCTCGGGATCCCGTCCGCTCTCCCATAGATAAGCCAGTGAGGGCCAGACTAGTAGTTGGGTCGGTGACGACCAGCGAATCCCTGGTGTTGTATGTTTTTTTTCTTTTTCTTTTTTTGCTCTCTCCTCTTTTTTTGCCTGTTTATTCTGTAGTGTAGCTGTCCCTTGCGCAACCACGTATCCGAAGATGTACGTCTAAGTTCAAGGAGTACAAAGTCTATCCTTTTCCGTACCTCCCTTCTCCTTTTCTTTTTCCCCTTTTCTTCCTTCATTCCTTTTTTATACTAAAATAAGGCGCTCATGCCTTGTCGGGACTTTATATTGCTCCAAGATGGGCTTTGCCTCCGCTTTCTTTTCCTAATATTTTGTAGAGGCTTCAGAAGGTTAGGCTCTTGCCGGCTTGGGTAGCGTGCAGCCGTTTGCAAAGAGGTGGTTGTTTGCGGACAAGTACCCTGCCTTCCGCCGTGTCACCGTAGGCAGCTATGTCGCCGATGTAACCCGATAACATAGCTACATATAGGTGGTAGAAGCTGCCTCCAATTGTAGCAACAACTCTCGGGGATTTGCCGGCATCGCAAGTCCAGGTGATCTAACTGCTTCCACAGCCCAATCCGGGCACTAGTTCCCCAGGCCCAACTTGTTTCAATGCCAGAGGGCTCCAAGGGCCTTGCAGCCTCTCGCGTGTCTGTGCACGTTAATGGCTGCGATTAACTGTCGACTTCAGTGGCGGAAAATAACTGGGCTATTCTGGTGGTGAATTGGCAGAGTGGCAAATTTACCTCGATTGGCATGGATGAAGAGCATGCCGAGTACTGGAAGACTAAGGTCGAGAGCATGTTAAAGGGTCAACTCCACCACGATCTTCAAGAGGCAAGTTGAATTGCTTTGCGTAAGTGGTGGATAATTGCTGACTTCTTTCTAGCTTGGGGGGACAGTCTGGGGACGCATCCTCCGGCAATTTATGTTGTTTCGCACTAGAAAAGTATCTTGGAACCGCACCACCAACGTCTGACATAGGCAATATCACTTCTCTTCGGGCACGGTACCTGGCGATGCTCCTGAGAACATGGATCTCGGCGTCCCAGTTAGGAGTCTTCGCCGGCAATGGCACAATGGAGCAGCCAGGTCCAACCGCGACAGAGCTCGTCTTTCTCCAACCCGATCCATCAGACCAAGTATCTACGTGTACTTCTGATAACCACCAATGTTTTCTCCTCGACATCCAGAAGTTCAGTAGTCAAGCGGGAGAGCTTGTCTTCCGCAATGGGGGATATGCCTATGAATATAATGTCGAGCGAGCGGCAATGGAATAGGCCAAAAGGTCAAGGCGGGAGAAGATTCTTCTTTGTGTAATAGGCGCTAATTACCTCCATATTAATTAGCGTGCTACTATAGGCACATCCTTAGAATGCGAACAACCCCAGTTCCTGGGTCTAGACAGAAGGCCAAATGGCTATATCACTGGCTATGTGCAAAGAAGTCTGCGTGCTTTTGGGCCGGCGGCCGCCGTGTTCCCGATGCGGCAGAGAAACTCCAACATGGTTGAAGAGTCATGCGGTCTGAACGACAGCAACTCATCGTCCACCTCACCAGTAGATCTTCACATATAACCGCCCATAAAACTCATATCCGCACCAAAGATTCCTTTACAGGCCCTATCAAGACCGCCAGTAGCTCCACAAATGCCCTATCCCCCCCTCAACATTGCCATTGCCACTCATATCGATGTGTTCCCTAATTACCTCGAACCTAATTCGCGGTTGTCACCGCTGTTCCATAGCTGCTGGTCCTGCGATCACTGCGAGCGCCACGACTGTCATGACTGATGGCCGCCACAACCGTCGCAACCACCACGACCCCCAAGTCTGACATGACCGCGGCGACCAGCACGCCAGGAGCCAAGATCAAACTCGCATTCGTTGCCCACCATCAATCCCCATCTCCATCAACTATTCTCCAGACATCATGCCAACATCAATTCAAAGTCCACAGTATGCCCATCGTCGGGAAACGCCACCAAGCTGCGTTTCACCGCCCAATGCTCTCCATATATTTCAGCCACCTTGCCCACAAAGTAGGCCATATTAACCCGAATCCTGGATAAGGCCATCTGGCGTTATATCCACGTAGAAATCCGGCCCGAAACCAGGGGTCTCGTTTGCTGACTGTGGTGGGGTGTTCGGCGCAGATTCCCGTCTTGGTGGTTGTGTCAGACAGTCAGAGCAGCCTAGTCTAGACTAATAAGGTAAACTGTCGGAGACCGGGCTTCTTGTGTCACACTAAAACATCCCTAAAACAACGACATCTGGCCATCCATCCATCCATTTCTAAACCTTTCAAACACCTACCAACCACCATATCCACAATGCCGTCCTACTCCGCCGCCACAATCCTCCTCTTCGGCATCACGTCCTTTGCAGCAGGGGCGACATCGCTCATCTGGCCCGCGCCGACGCTGGCGGCGCTCGACCTGCCAACGTCAGCGCTGCCCGCCGCCCGCGGCAACTCGCTGGCTGCCATTGCCATGGGCATCTACTACACGCTGGGGGCATACCAAAACAATCGCGCCTTCTTCCTGGCCACGGTGCCCATGCGCCTGCTCACCACGGCCGTGTTCTGGGGTCAGAATTGGAGGGCCGCCGCGCTGTGGGAGGGCATCGGCGCACTGCTGACGGGTCTGGCGTTGGGGTACGAGCACGTCGCTGCGCAGCCGGGGAGCCCAAAGGGGAAGAAAACGTAGTGGGATGCGGGACGCTGTCTAGGTTAATGTTGTTGGATCGAAAAGAGAGGGTGCATCCCTGAGACATAGAAGAACAAGTTCAGTTAAATCACAAAATCATTATATTTATATCCACCCGTAGAGAAATAATTCCCCGCACTCCTTGACACTCGTGACGGCGCGGAAAACACCCAAACCGGCGGCCCGCCCTCCCATCCTCGGGCCGCAAACGGATGTCGACAAAAAGCAAGGCCGCGCCGGCGGCAAAAGGGATGGGAATGACCCTGACCCGATTTGAACGGATAACCTTTCGATCTGGAGTCGAACGCGCTACCATTGCGCCACAAGGCCCTTGTTGTTTGATGAAGTACGGGTAGGGATGCGAGTCATGTGAAGCCCACCGTGCTCTGGGGCTTGTGGTGGAGGTCTGTGGGGTCTCGTTTGGGAGCCATGTGGGACTCGGTGCAGTCTCGCTCCGCGCAAAGGCTCCGGCATATTGACTTGCTATCATTACTTTGTCTTATACTTGAGAGACACTCGTTGCCGGCACGCAATCGGGTGAGAATTCCAAGCATTATTTGTTGATGACCTGCGTTGAATATTGCACCACACTCAACCAGGTACTTGGTCAACGGCACCACATCACCGACGACAACGAGCAAATATTCACGTCACGTCACTTGCTTCTCTTTATGAAAATCCGGGTATGGCGGCCCAGTCGGTATCATGTGTCCCAGCTTCGGAGGCAGAGTCAATTACCGACGGCGCAGCCAACTCTTTGCCCGGCTATAGGGTGTGATACCCGAGTGGTTGTGCTCTTTACCCGCTGCGTACCCCAGATAATTACCCTTCTCCATCGTAATCATGGTTTATTTTGCAGCTGGCCGTCTGCTGCAGGCGATATTGGAACGTTTGATCAAGGCGGCAAGAATTGTTCTCGAAGTGGCCGGCTTATAATGCGGCGACTCCTTGGCGCCCAAGTAAGTGAAAGTGCTTCTCCATCTTCATTCGCTCACACCTTCGAGTCTTGAAGTTAGTAACATTGCTCAATAAACCTACCTCGATACTCGCCCCCCAAGAGATCGTCATGCTGTTCAAGGCAAGCCTGCTGCTGCTGGCGACAGCGGTGGATGCGGCGCCACACTGTAAGCCAGACCCAGACAAGCAGCGCTTGTCCAAGGTTACCGTGACCAATATCGCTGAGACAAGGGCACAGACATCTTTGGAAACCTCAAGGGGACGCAGGACTGGCAGGTGGTGCGCATGACGGCCAACCACTACAGCAACGCGCCCGTCACCGACGTCACGTCAGAGGCGATCCGGTGCTACCAGAACACGCCGGGCGGCGGCGGCAGCACGTCGACGTACAAGGCCAGGGCGGGCGGCACCATCACCTGGACGGCGAACCCAAACATCTACCACCCCGGCGCGCTGTCGGCCTACATGGCCAAGGTGCCGGCGGGCCAGACGGCGGCCACGTTTGACGGCGCCGGCGCCGTGTGGTTCAAGGTCTACCAGGACATGCCCACGTCGTCTGGGTCGCAGATGAACTGGCCGTCGCAAAGTACGATCCCCTCCTTGTCCCCGGAACTGCGCGCAGTCCACTTTATCGGGTGGGAAGAAAGGCTGCAGAGTCGAAAGGAAACGTGACCAAGGCAAATACTAACGGCCCCAACCGGACAGACAAGGCGACAGTCGACTTCAAAGTCCCGCAGTGCCTGGCCGACGGCGACTACCTGTTCCGCATCGAGCACGTGGCGCTGCACTCGGCGGCCAAGGAGAACGGCGCGCAGTTCTACATCTCGTGCGCCCAGCTGACCGTCGACGGCGGCAGCGGCGCCAAGACGCCCACCGACCTTGTCTCCTTCCCCGGCGCCTACAAGCCGACAGACCCCGGACTCATGATCAACATCTACAGCAACGGGGGCAAGGCCTATACCCCGGCCGGGCCGGCAGTCTTTAAGTGCTGATGAAGGGGGCTGTTGTCGAGTGCTGAATGGGTTGGGTATATACCTATGTTGGGTGGGATGATGGGGCGGTCTGTTGTGGTTGACGGACCTTTATGTAGGTGTAATTATTGTCCTCGATCTATCCGAGTCCATGCAGGATCGGGGCGAGGTTTAGATGTTGTGTGGTAGATAATTATGTATTGTTGTAACAATGACACAACGAGACAACTTCGTCCTGATCCTGAGGCTTTGACCAAGCCCGAGGTGAGAGGCGGACCAACGAGGGCTGCAACTTGGCCATTTGTCTGCAATTGAACGTCATTGCGGAGAACGAAACTGTCTTGGCATCAGGAGGGCAAGGGAGATCCCTCGGCATTGGCGCCAGGGTCCTGGGAAAGCATGCCATCCTGTCCCTCGTTTGATGTCTTCGGAAGGCCAGGAAGGCTCAACCGAGCAAATCCATTTGTCTTTTTCTGGCTTCCCACCCGTTGAGCTGCAGGCTGGCTTTGGCGGGGTGGCAGGTGGGCAGGTGTTGGGGAGCGACAACGGCAGCGAAAACTGTGCTGGCTCGCTGCTCGGCTAGGACTAGCAGGTGTTTGTGGACTGAAGAGTGCGGGATTTCCCGAGGTCCGACCCTTCCGAAAAAGCACCGGACGCCTGGCCAATTGGCGCTAGACCGAACCTGGCCGAGGCACTTTTTTTACCTCACCCAAGCGAATGGCCCCAGCCCGGGCCGGGCCAAAAGTCACCATAGTCACACGCCTGTTCAACTGCAATCTTTTTTCGTTGTTCTCTTTTCCTACCAACCCGCCTTATCTGCACGCCCTCTCCTCACCGCACGAGGTAGCCCGCTCCCCAAGTAACCTTTCAATCGTCATCACTGCTCGTCAGACACAACCGCCAACATGTTTATGGCCTCGAGAATCCAGACCCGCGCCTTCTCGGCGTCGGCCCGCAACGTCAGTGGCCCCCCTTCCCATCCAATGCACGCCCAGGTCCCGATTGACTTTCCATCACATCCCCACCCAGCCTCGCTGTCTCGAAGATGCAATTGACCGCTCTCCGTACTAACTTCCGGTCTCCAATGTACAGCTTTCCAAGGTCACCGTCCTCGGCGCTGCCGGCGGCATCGGCCAGCCGCTGTCCCTCCTCCTCAAGCTCAACCCCAGGGTCAGCGAGCTTGCCCTCTACGACATCCGCGGAGCCCCTGGTATGTGCTCGCAACCACTCTCTACTGCCTTTGGTGTCGCAATTCGCAAAGGAACAGTGTTGAATGCAATTGCAATTGCAACTGCAACTGCTGAGACAAGTCAAGAAAAAAACTAACCACGCTTTGTTCACCCCCGAATCAGGTGTCGCCGCCGATGTGTCTCATGTCAACACCAAGTCTACGGTCACCGGCTACGACCCCACGCCCTCTGGGCTGGCCAGCGCGCTCAAGGGCTCAGACGTTGTGCTGATCCCCGCGGGCGTGCCGCGCAAGCCCGGCATGACGCGCGACGACCTGTTCAACACCAACGCGTCCATCGTGCGGGACCTAGCCAAGGCGTGCGCAGATTCGTGCCCCGAGGCCAACATCCTGGTCATCGCCAACCCGGTCAACTCGACCGTCCCCATCGTGGCCGAGATCTTCAAGGCGCGCGGCGTGTACAACCCCAAGCGGTTGTTCGGCGTGACGACGCTCGACGTGGTGCGCGCGTCGCGCTTCGTCAGCGAGAAGAAGGACACGGACCCGGCCGACGAGAACATCACGGTCGTCGGCGGCCACAGCGGCGTGACCATCGTGCCGCTGTTCAGCCAGAGCAACCACCCGGAGCTGTCGGCGGACGGCGACCTGGTGCACCGTGTGCAGTTTGGCGGTGACGAGGTGGTCAAGGCCAAGGACGGCGCCGGCTCGGCGACGCTCAGCATGGCCATGGCGGGCGCGCGCATGGCCGAGAGCGTGCTGCGGGCGGCGCAGGGCGAGAAGGGCGTGATTGAGCCCACGTTTGTCGACAGCCCGCTGTACAAGGACCAGGGCATCGACTTCTTCAGCAGCAAGGTCGAGCTGGGCCCCAACGGCGTCGAGAAGATCCTGCCCCTCGGCAAGGTCGACGCTGCCGAGGAGGCCCTTCTCGAGGCCTGCTTCACCGACCTCAAGAAGAACATTGAGAAGGGCGTGGCCTTTGTCGCCTCCAACCCCGGCAAATAAGCGCGTCACCCCCGTGGCCAATATCAACCCCATAAAACAAACTCGAGCCAAATTCATTAACCTCGTGCGGGCGAGTCTCACCCAAGAGTGAAAGGGTACCTGGTGTGCGTGTGAGTGTGTGCGTATTTGTATGCGTCCGAGTGCTGAGAAGTAGGGAGCGACTGTATCAAGGCGGACAAGGACGATAGGAAAAGAGTGGAAGGAGAGAGGTTACCCGATCGGTGTGTGCTGAAACCCAAAGCACATGCTTGGAATCGGGTAGAAGAAAGGAGGAGAGGTGGTGGATCCGGAGTAGACTTGCTGTTTTTTTTTTCCATCTTTTTTCTACGTGAAAAAGAAAAACAAAGCATTAGAGGCACCTGGTGACTGTATCATACTTAGTTCCCCAACAGCTCCATTAGTGTATTCGAATTCATCGCGTGTTTAAGCTAGATCTTGCGGCCCGTCCCATGAACGGATCGGATGAAAGGCACTAGGGAGTAATTGTGGTTGACCCACTTAACGATTAAGAAGGTAACCAGCAAGAGAGACAACAAGACAGGGCAGACAACAAGACGGGCACGAACAAGCAACAACACCGGAAAACCTCTCATAACATCTTTTATAAACCATTCACGCCGTAGAAGATGGCAGATCATCACCCAAGCCCCGTTCTTACTCAACAGTACAAGTACAGATTCATGGGTGTCGCTCTATGTCTACAAACGAAACAATGCTAAATGATCGCCTCCCTCTCTCTCCCAACCCATCTACATGTAGTACCATCTAATTCTGCACCTGCTGCTGCTGCGCCGGGCCACCAACGCCCGACCACGCGCGCAGCTGAGCCGCGCGCGCTTCTATCCTGCGCTCCATCTCGGCAACCTTCTCGGCCTGTATCCTCTCCTCGGCCTCCTCCCTGAGGCGCAGGGCCTCGGCCTTGCGGGCGCGCTCGCGCTCGAGCTGGTCGGGGCGGCGCACGGCGATGTCGCGGGCCTGCAAATCACTAAAAAGGTACTTGAAGACAACCTCGATGAGCCAGCAGGCGCCGTAGTCGAGCACCATGACGGCCGTCATGGTCGTCTTGAACTCGTCCTTGAACGGCACCAGCTTCATGGCCTGGTTGAGCTCGGGGATCAGCTCCGTCGAGCACGCGAACGCGATGCCCGTCACGCCCAGGATCCCGTAGAACATGCCCTTGTTCTCCGACAGCGACTCGCGGAAGGGGCGCC